ATTCATCTTGATTTTCAATAATCACTTTGGACCCTGGACCAGGCCAAGTAACTGCTACATCAGCCCCCAGGACTCCCCAAGCACTGGCATGCTGTTGGCTGAGTGCCAGCCAGACCTGGGTAAGCATTTGTCTACCAGGGCTCCCTCAGCTATCAGAGCAGCAGTGACTCCTGTGCCATGGTTTTCTTGCTTTTACTTGTATGGTGGCATCAGGGGAAGCGGTGCCATTCCTCCAGTCAGCTAACTCTCCTGCAAGGCACGCAGGATGTGAAACACCAGATGTTTGTGACCAGTGGGCTTGTCACAAAACATCTCTCTGGTTGTAAACAAACTGGAAATTGTATTGGCTGATTGAAAACTCCACAGTTAAAGGAGCTTGCTTACAGGAGTTGGAGACCTGTGGTAAAGGAAAGATTTCTTCAACATTTTTAAACAGCACTTAAAAAATGAATTCAGAGTTCCAGCTTTCCTATCCCTCTGGGGATTAGTGAAGGGCTGTCCTACCTCTGAGGATTTCCCGGAGGTGTGGCTTGGCCTTGTCCATGGGCATCTCCCCATACTTGTTACAGATGCTTACCTGAGCACCACTATTTACTAAGTCCTGGAGTGAAAACAATGCAGATAAAATGAACTTGAAGAGAAATACTGACAATATTTTTCCAACAGCATATTAAGAAAGTGAGGATTACAGCTGCCGGAACTATGAGTATGGTTTGCATTCCAGGAATAGACAGAAAAAGATATGGTGCTTGTAATCACCCTTGCATCAGGCTTAAATTGATGTTAAAAAACAAGGGAAATTCTTTCATTGCTTGACACAGTTTATAACAAAGCAAGAGACATTTTCAGTAATCTCTTTCTTGAACAAATGCAAACTTCCAACACTCCCATGAATGTTAACCATAATATCATGCAAAATGATAATAATAGCACATAAAATACACAGAATAAACAAAGAAATGACAGACCTAACTACGTTTGCATTTAAGCAGAAATTTCCAATGAAATGATAGCAGAAGAAACCCTGTATTAGAAAAATAAATCAGTCCCATGGGGCACATGTTGGTCATGGGTCTCCAACCCTCGACCTGCAGTCCTGTTTCTAATGAATGGGTTATACTTTTAAGTCACTGATCAATAAAGCAAGTAACCATTTATATTATGAGTGCTGTGGGGTACTCAGATTTCAATCCTAAATTCTCTGAATTACATAATTGAACAAATTACCTACTTAATTGATCCTGATTAAGTTGTTCTAGTGTGTAGATATTGATAACCTATTTAAACCCTAGAGGATTTTGTCTTAATCCGCAAGTACAGTTAAAGAATTTTAGAATAGCAGCACTGGTTTCCAAGCAATGACTATTAATCATAAATCATACTTGCTAACTTATTACTGCTAAACTTATAAAACATTGCTTAACCAGTTAGCAGTGATGTCAGTTATACAGATGCAGCCATTCAAAGTACGCGGCACAAACACGTACCGCGGGTAATTGACTACGGCCTCGCGAATCGTTACGCAAAATACCGCAGTACGTGATTGGTTGACCGACAGGGGCACCCGTGGTGCGTTGGTGGGTCGTAGAAAGATTTAAATGTCTTTACTATGCCTGTTTTAGTATTGAATATTTGTATTGAATTTTACCACTGAAGGGAAATCTTAGTAGTTGAGCAACATACAGTATATGGCTGGACTCGGTACTTTAAAGAAAAAATACACGTCAGTATTCCATTTCTCCCTAAACATTTGACATCTCTTGGAATGTGTTTTCTTTCTT